CATCGTGATCGATATAGTGACATGTTAAGATCCCATGGTGATGCCGGAGTACTAGTTGAACTCGAGGGCATAGCGAGTGAATGATAGCAGATTAATAACCACGATAATTGTAGTGTGTGGAGTGGAGTACGCCGTGAAACGCATCTATCCGTTTCACTGGGGCGAATGAGAGATATACAGGATATAAAGAGTGCAAGAATCATCATAGTGAGGATGTAAGAACTGAGTGGTATTGAATAATAGTGAGACCACTACGAAAGGGAGCAAGATAGCAAGAGAGTTGTCTTGGTTCTCACATATCTCCCCCCTTAAATATACGTAATGAAGTAGAGAATATAATATTAGCTGGCATCATTGATAGTATAGACAGAGGTTTCGGTCAGCGTGAACAGTGTCATCACTAAGACGATAAGTAGCAGTACCGAGAACCTCCTTGATAGTGAGAGGGCCTGTCCAGTTAGGTTGAAGCACACCATTAGACTTGTTGTCGATCCACTTGAGCACCTTCTGCCCAACCTTAAAAGTGCGACGACGCGACAGGCGATCACCAAACTTCAGCATGACCTTGGCCTCAGCTTCTTCCATAGCGTCATGAACTTCCTTGATCATAGCTTCACGGCGAGAGAATCGACGCTCAGCTTCGAACTTAACCGTATCAGTAGTGATAGTGTTGGAAATATCCTCGAACCGTCGACCTAGGGAGCTGGCATCAGAAGAACCCATGAAGAGTTGCTGAGGAGTATATTCACAACTATCATCGAGGAGGCGATTGTTGCAACGCTTCTGAGCAAGAGCAAGGAAGGAAGGCCAGCGATCAGTATTGCCTTTGCACATGGCTTTGAGAACTTGCTTCAGTACCCCGTGTTGCCTCTCCAAAGCTCCATTGCGATTGGGCGAGTAGACTGGAACATACCTCACTTGGATACCCCATGACGCAGCCCAACCACGGAAGTGCACCGATTGGACGGATGTACCGTTATCGGCCACAAAGCATAGTGGTGATCCTACCAAGCCGAACACTTGATTGTCGATGGTATCAGTGATGGCCTTTGAAGTGATCGACGAGACCGCTAAGAACATGACATATCTACTTGCCGCATCCATAAGGGAGAGTACATACTTCGAGTTGTGTAGGGTGCTCGGCGGAAGAGGTCCTACAGTATCAATGTACCACACATCATTGACCCCAATAGAATCGCGTAATGATGAGATGATAGGTTATAAAGGACCACGTCGAGCACGTACATACTGGCAGTAGCATTTACCCACAACACGTTGCACAGTGTCGGCGATGCGGAGACAGAAGAAGTCACGACAGATGATCTTGAGAGTCTGCTTCACGCCACAGTGACCATAAGAATGATGGACGTATTGGGCAAGGGACCGACCATATCTCTTGGGAAGTACATACTTATCCCGAATCCTCAGCAGGCCATTCTCATCGATGCGGAACTTGGATAGACCTCGGCCAATTAGAGTTCGAAGCTTCCCGCAGTGCTCATCAGAGTTCTGGGCTGCCTTGAGCCAGTTACGGGCGAGCTCTGGATCGAGAGGGATGGAGCATTGTAGAGGAAAGTCCGTACCAGTTCTCCAAGCCGTGAAACATCGGTGTAGGAGCGAAGGGACCGGAAGAGAAGATAGGGGATCAGTAACCGCGGCTGCAAAGACTGTACAGCAGTTGCAGGTTGATGGTTCTTGATTAATATCGTCGTGCAATGAGAAGAGCAGTTGTCTTCACCGTCGTCGGTCGTTGATGCACCAGGTGGTATGAGTCGAACTGATGATCCACTGGTTGGGTGCTTGTACTGC